TCCCCCTGTGCACACTAGTTGAGATGGTCTCGGAACGACAAGAATGGCTAGTGGCAGTTTAGGTCACTGTAAATTAGTCAACTGAGATTTTAAGTTAAAATGCTATTTTAATAGTCCCAGAACAAAAAAGTCCAACAAACAAACAAAAAGCCAAAAAAGCCCCAAACCTCCTAAATAAATAACACTTGTTTTCATTAACAGAAAATGGATAATTAAGATTGAGAGTACAATCAAAGATAGGTTTTTGTTTTCTTTAAAAAAACAAAAAACCCCAAGCCATACACAACAAATGATACAAATAATAAAACCATTTCAATGATATAAGTGGGAACCCAGTCTAGTATAAGGGATACAAGGATCACATGAAAGGAAACTTAAATAATATTACAGTGGAAAAAGGAATAAAGTGACATATGAAATTAAATTGTTTTTCACAATTTCTGTGATTTGTTTTTTTTAAATTGTATATATACATTCATGCATGCTTAGCTCTGAGTTCTAAGTACACAATTTGAATTGTATTATACGGCCAGATATTCTAATGCCTAAATATATAACCCTTTTTATAAATTTCTGACATCAAAAGTGATCCATGCAAATAAAGTGACCCACATATACACATGTAAAGTTATCCACTTTTTTGTTAATTTCTTTTCCAATCTGCCTCTTTTATACATTTTATTAGTGTTCCAGCAGCTCATGTCTATTATATTTTCGCATGCACTATATATAGCTGCATACAGCTGCTAGCATTGTCAGTATTTTGTAATGGTTGATGCATAAACCATTTTTGAATATATTACTTAACTCCCTCTCTGTGATGAGTTACATTCTCCCCTTCAATATGGACTGTAGTTTTACCCCTTGAAATAGGATTCTGTAGAAACAAAATATAACAGCAAACTAGAAAACAAAGGCAGAAAAGGCTGTGGGAAACAAGGAAGAGATTAAAATGCTAAGAAGCCACATGGTAAGCTAACAACAGAGTAATCAAGATAAAAAACCCCCACAGAATGTACAAGCCTACTTTTTATTATGTATGTGAATGAACAAAATACCTTAACACCGTGCAGTCATCTACACACTACTCCTAGAATGAGATCTGACACTGGGGAGTCTCACGCTTAGCTGGAGGCCACTACAGAATTGAGATTAAGCATTAAGTCAGCTATAAAGAAGATTCTGACGCATGCAGTACCTGCTACAATCCTAATTCATATGGTACTAATTATATACATGTTCAGATGAAATGATAGCTTTATTTGGGTTCATATCTTTCCTTTTAAAAGAGATGTGGTCTTGGAAAATGAAAACAATGAAAGAAGTATTTTAAGAAAAAACGATGAAGTTCTATGCAAAGAACTATCCAAGACACCAAACACATCACAGAATCAGATGATGAGTAATCAGGACACAGACTGATATGAATTTTCACTGAGTTTCCTGGCTGTAGGAAAGTTAGCGAGAAATCTTCCCTTTGTGCCCTTGATCTCCATCCCACCCCGCTCCGTTCCATCTCCTTTTGCCTACTTCCCTAAGACTCCCGTACATCTCTCCCATCTTTCTGTCTGATTTCTGGTCTCCATAGTTCCTTTAGATCTGCCTTCTCTCTCCCTCATGCCCCTCATATGCCCCTGCCTCCATCTGCCTTCTACTCCTCAGACCTTCTTGTCTCTCCCTTCTGTCTGCACAGTTCTTGCACCTCTGAATTTGCTGGTTCCTTATCTCAATCTAGTAAGCAATCATTGCCTTGTTTGAAGGCAACCTTGCTTCAGCCCCCACTTACCAAGTGAGGGAAATGGTTACCATCTTTGCTGACCTAATTATTACCTGTAAATGCCGCAGGGAAACAGCACACGCCATACTGAGGGGTGCCAGAGTTCCTCACTTCCATAGACAGTAATAGGAGATGGTAGCCATTTTTGGTAAAGGCAGAAGTAACAACATTGAAAGAAGAAATCATGAAAATCCTTTAAGGGATACCCCAAATACTATGAAATATGATAAAACAGTGTGATACAGCAATATCGTTATCCTTCCAGTTGCTTAACTGAAAGAGGAGATGTTTTAGGTAACATCTTACATAAATAAATATATCAAGCTTCTTATGCTAATTCTGTAAAGTAGAAAGTGTTTCAATGTGGTACTGAACTAGGGGAAAAGGCACTAAACCAAAATCGGTACAAGAACAAGAACTACAGAATAAACACACAAAACGATCATAATGGGGAAAAATCATGCTAACAATACAGCACAGTAGGATTTAGGCAAGTCATTCCATTTTTTAAATAATAAAACCCAGTAACTGTGGCCTTATGCATTGAACAATCACCATAAACATATGGCATGTTCAATGAAATTAGAGACGAATGAGTGAAAAAGTTTAGATCTGAAATTTGGCCTCAGTTCAAACTTCTTGAAAGTTCAGCTCATTTTGCTCCAGGATTAATGTTTCCTTTGGTTCATTATGAATTAAAGAGTTGGTGATTGAGCATTTTCTAAAAGACAAATTTAGTCACATACTTCTCTCCTCCTCCCCTCTTCCTAATTAATTGATTTATTAATTTTTCATTGCTTTTAGAATGCTCTTCCTGTCAATTTGACATATAAAATAATCATATTTAAATATTTTTGAGCCATTAGGAGTGAGTAAAAATAACTCTGAAGCCTGGTGTATAGGTCACAAACCTGCAGGGTTCCCAACCCAATAAAATTTTAGTGACAATCCACAAACTAATTACTGACAGTCAAACTATTTTTACTGACATACGTTTTATATAATGTAAATACAGCCCTTGAGACAGGCCCGAGACAGCAACAACAAGGGTCAGATTCAAAATTAGAGGTTTAACACCAACTTTTACCGGATTATTTCACTGCAGCAATGATTTTAGACCATGCTACCACCACACCTAGGGTCTCTCTACTCACCCCACACTCTGAATCACACTGTGCTGCTCCCACCCTAGCCCATCCTGCACCTTACCCCTACAGGCCCCATTCCCGCATGGATCCCCCAGCCACCTCTCCCCCCTCCCAGCCCTCCAGCTTTATCCCAGCTGCACCACTGCTCTCTGTCCCACTCAGTGGCTCAGACTGTCCAGGGCTGCAGAGATCTGCATACCTGAGAGGTGATCAGCTTTTACTGTCAGGTGAAAGCCAATGAAACACAATGGGAGCATATGGCTGGGGGTTGGGGGCAGCTGGGAGGGGAAGGGACCTATGGAGGTTTCCGTGAGCCACAAAGCTCTGATGGAGAGCTCACTGTAGGGTGCTGCACTCCCACTCAGATACAAGATGGAACTGGTCCTTAGTTTTTTACTGACAGCTCCACTTATTTTTTTACAGGCTTTACAGACAAGCATTTTTAGCCTTTTTTCTTACAGACTGCTCAT